GGAGGAGGAGGAGGGGGAGGAGGAGGGGGAGGAGGCTAGGGGAGGAGGAGGAGGAGAGGAGGGGAGGAGGAGGAGGAGGAGGGAGGAGGAGGGGGGAGGAGGAGGAGGAGGAGGGAGGAGGAGGAGGAGGAGGAGGTGGAGGAGGAGGAGGAGGAAGTGCCGCCGGAAGATGGAGCCGTCATGCTTCACCGTCTTGTAGTTCGACTGCATCGCCGGACCTCCGGGGAGGCCTGGGTCCGGCCCCTGGCCGGCCAGACTCGGGGCGGACGAATCGGCGGCGACGACAGGGGCGAAGAAGGACCCCAGGGGCGGGCACGACACAAATATTCGCCCATAGGAGCCTCTTCGAAGACATAGATCATCGGCGCACCTGAACACATGGGCTGCTCTCCCCTGGGCCAGTCGCCCCAAGTCGTCGCCTCGGAACGCAAGGGGCGAGGGTCCGCAGATCGGCTGCGGTCGGTTTTCCACGCGCCTGGAGGCGCCAGGGGCGGTCATGCACATCGAGGAGAAGGCCTGGCGGCGGGCGGACCCGAGGCATCCGCCGGTATGACTTTCTCAATCTGGGTCTAGGTTTTCGTCCCGGTTTTCGTCCCCGATCCATGTTTGATTGCTCTGGGGTCTAAGAACGACCCCAAGAAAGCCGAAATCGAGATAATCCCGCCAGTCGAAAAGGTCATATCGTTGGAGATCTTTGCAACCAGCCACACGCAGCAGATTTCGCACCCTCCCTTTCCCACCCGCCCCGCCCCCCCCCCGGTCGTCCGCCTCGACAAGCCCCCATCTGTACTGTCAATCTGCCGACGCTCTCTCCTCGCCGACGCCTCTTTTCCAGTGCCGGGTGCGCACTCCGCACTTGGCAAGCGGAACCACAAGCGTGCCAAGTGGATCTCGGAAGGCCAGCAAACAGGTGGGGAGATGAGGGGGCAGCAAGAGAAGAAAGGGGAGACAATGGAGGCCGGTCAACTAGGGCCGAAGCAGATGAAGTTGGAGATTTGCGCCGCATCGCCGATGCAACAGTGATGCATCGGCGGCGGCAAGATGGAGAAAGTCGGGCTCCAGATCGCACTGCATCGCCAAGGGCAAGAGATTAGCCCCCGCGGTTCCTCGAAGGCGAGACCCGTTACGAAGCGCCCTATTGGGAAAATAGAGTATGGGAGAACAACAGGGCGCAACCAAACACAAGACAAGCTTCAGCTCCACTGACCCCCGACAGCTCCAGTTTTGCTCCAATCGCAAGCCCTTGGACCTATCGACACCTTACGCGACAACAGCGTTTCATCCTGAGTCGTGTTTGGACAATCCCAGATACTGGAGACGGCCCCCGAACGCAAAAACAAGTTGATAATCTCCAGCCCGAGTTCTCGAGATGCCCTAGGGCATCTCTGGGCTTGGCTCCGAAGCTCTGTGGTGCGATGCATCGACTCGCCTCCAAAGTGGCCAGAGCTGGGCTGAGCTGGGCCGAGAGCCGAAACGACATAGAAAGAAGACGCCTCTGGGGAGCATTCGCCTCGGGTGGAGAGCGCAGGCACGGCCTGCCACAAACACCTCCCAACTATCCCCTGCTTCCGGCCAGTCCTCCTCCTCCTCCTCCTCCTCCTCCTCCTCCTCCTCCCTCCTCCTCCTCCTTACCCTCCTCATCCTCCTCTCTTTTCCACATCCTCCTCCTACTCCCCTTTCCACATCCTCCTCCTCCTCCTCCTCCTCCTCCTCCTCCTCCTCCCCCTCCTCCTCCTCCTCGTCGTGCTCCCCCCTCCCTCCTCTCCTCTCCTCCTCCTCCTCCTCCTCCTCCTCCTCCTCCTCCTCCTCCTCCCCTCCTCCTCCTCCTCCGCCTCCTCCTACTCTTAGTCTTCCGCTCCTCCTCCTCTTCCTCCTCCTCGCTCCTCTCACTTCCCTCCTCCTCCTCCTCCTCCCTCCTCCTCCCCTCCTCCTCTTCTCTTCCTCCTCCTCCTCCTCCTCCTCCTCCTTCTCCTCCTCCTCATCCCCTTTCACCGCTTTCCACAATGTTCATAATCACCATCATCATCACCATCACCATCACCATCACCATCACCATCAGCATCATCATCACCATCAGCATCAGCATCATCATCATCATCATCATCAGCAGCAGCAGCAGCAGCATCATCATCATCATCATCATCATCATCATCATCATCATCATCATCATCATCATCATCATCATCATCATCATCAGCATCATCATCATCAGCATCATCGTCATTATCATCATCATTATTATCATAATCATCATCATCATCATCATCACCAACAGCATCACCAACAGCATCATCAGCAGCATGATCAGTATAATCATCATCAGCAGCATCAGCATCATCATCCTAAGAGCAATAATAATCAGCATCATCAACATCATCATCATCAGCAGCATCAGCCTCATCTGCATCAGCATCAGCATCAGCATCATCATCAGCATCATCGTCATCGCCATCAGCATCGTCGTCATCATAATCATCATCATCATCAGCAGCAGAATCAGCATCAGCAGCATCATCATCCTCATAATCAGCAGCATCATCGGTATCATTATAATCATCATCAGCAGCGTCAGCATCATCGTCATGGACATCATCATCATCAGCAGCAGCATCATCGCCATTATCACCATCATAATGACCATCAGTTTCATCCTCATCAGCATCACCATCTGCGTAATCAGCATCACCAGCATCACCGCCATCATCGCCGGCGTCGGCACCATCAACATTATCAGCATCAGCGTCAACATCGTCAGCATCAGCATCAACATCATCCTCCTCGCCATCATCAGCATCATCAGCATCGCCACCACCATCATCAACATCATCAGCATCAACGTCATCAACACCAGCATCAGCATCATCACCAGCATCATCTGCATCATCGTCAGCATTATCATCAGCATCATCATCATCGTCATCAAGATCATGTTCACGATCCTCCGCCGAGCTCAACAGCTCTGCTTGGGGTGCCTCGGCGGAGGGAATCCAGCAGCGCTCCGCCAGCGAGCTATGGCACCGAGCACCGCTGCACCAACATGTCCCGCCTAGACGAATACCTCGAATACCTCGAGTACTTCCTCCTTCTGCTTCTCCTCCTCCTGCTCCTGCCGTTCTTCCCCATCATCATCGCCAGCAGCATCATCATCCCCATCATGAGCAGCATCACCAGCAGCAGCCGTAACAGCGCCATGACCAACAGCAACAACAGCATTAACAGTAGCAACAACAACCATAGCCGCAGCATCAGCAACGACAGCAACGGCAGCAGCAGCAGCAGCAACAACAACAGCACCACCACCACTACCACCAACAACAACAAGCACTTTAAGACTGTTCGGTCTTATCTGCTCGCGGTCCATTCAACACGGATATCCACAACCATCGATACCCGCCCTTTTCGTCTTCGATTGTACCCCTTGGGGGAAGATACATTGTTTACCTGCAACGTGTGTTCCGTGCAGCCTCTAATGCAAGGGACTAGAGGGAGGATGGAAGAGGGGGGCAATGGGGGAGGGAGGAGGATGGAGCACGCGAGAGAGTAGCAGGAGGGGGTAGGAGCACAAAACACGTGGCAGAACCAGACGGGCAGATCGGGCGGGTAGACCCTAACGAGCGGGTCGGGAAGGCGGGCCCAGGCGGACAGGTCGAGCAGGCGGGTTGCTGAAGCGTGCGTCCTGCACGAACCGCGAGGAAGTCTCGAGCGAATGGGGCCACGAGAGGCAGCTGCAGGGCCATGGCGGGCAGGGGCCACAAGAGGCAGGGGTCACGAATGGCAGCAACGGGTCCACAGAGGGCAGGAATGAAGGGGGCCACGACGGGCAGCTGCAGGGCCGCGAAGGACGGGGGCCACGAAGGGCAACAACGGGGCCACGAAGGGCAGCAACGGGGCCACATGGGCAGGAGCGAACGGGGCCACGAGGGGCAGCTGCAGGGCGACGACGGGCAGGGGCCACAAGGGGCAGGAGCGAATGGGGCCACGACGAGCAGCTGCGGGGCCACGAAGGGCAGGGGCCACGAGGGACAGCAACGGGGCCACGACGGGCAGCTACAGGGTCACGAGGGCGGAGGGCCACGAAGGTCAGCAACGGGACCACGAAGGGCAGCAACAGGGCCACGATTGGGCAGGAGCGAAGGGGTCCATGACGGGCAGCTGCGGGGCCACGAAGGGCGGGGGCCACGAAGGTCAGCAACGGGGCCACGAAGGACAGCAACGGGGCCACGAAAAGGCAGAAGCCAAGGGTGGCGAAGGGCCGCGAGGGGCAGCTTCAGAGGGGCCACGAAGGGCAAGGGCCACGAAGGGCCGCAATGAGGCCGCAAAGGGCAGGCAGGAGCGAAGCCCCAAGCGAAAGCACGATGCATGCGCAAATGGTCAGAACCTCTAGGGCGGGAGCGTGTGGGCCAAATAAATCACGAGGTAGTCTCATGTGGGAGCCGTTGCTGTTGCAGCGTGGTCTAAACCAAATGTTTGTGGGAGGAGGTCTGAGGCGGGAGCCGCTGTTGTTGCAGCGATTTCTCAATAGATTGCAGCGATTTCTCAATTGATGTTGTTGGGCGTGCGCGGCGTCTTGATGGATTCCGAAGAGGACCCACGCGAAAGCACGATTTCTCAATGAATTGCAATGGAGCGGGCCAGAGTGGAGGCCCTGAAAAATGGCGAAGAACTCTCGAGCGGGAGCCGTTTTTGTTGCCGGGCCCTCACGGACCCTGAATTATTTGCGAGGGATCGGGTTCTTGATAGCTTCCGAAGAGCTCCCGCGCGAAAGCAAGATTTCTCAATTAGCTGCAAGGGAGCAAGCGAAAGCGGAGGCCCTGCAAGAATGGCGAAGAAGTCTCAAGCGGGAGCAGTTGTTGTTACCGGGCCTCCACGGACTCTGAATTACTTGCAAGGAAGTCCCGAGCGAGAGCGCGAGTCCTTGGTACATTGTCAGCAAACATCGAGCGGGAGCGGGGGTCCGGAGAAAGTTTCAAAAGTATCAGGCGGGAGCCTTTGTTGTTGCG